AAGGGTCCTTTCCAACCTAAATGATTCTAAATAAAATCCTGGCACAGAAGCTGGGGGACTCTTATAGAGAGTACTCTGCTTCTCTCAAGAAGCATTTTACCTTAAGATTTACTTGGGAATCATCTTAGAAATTCCTTCTTGCATGCATCATGCACTTTTTACCCTAGCTTAAGAACACTCGCATATACCAGCAACAGATTCTGAAACTGCCTGTAAGCAGGTGAAATGAAGGAACAAAAAAAGAGTCCAGTGAGGATATAAAGTGCTCTGGCTCTTCACAGGCCCCGATCTGCTCTTTTATAGCAGTGGAGAAGAAAGAGAGAGGAATTTATCCCAGAGTGACTGTGGAAACTGCCAAAACCATATGATTTCAAGCAACCTCGAATCAAGCTTTTGGACACAGGGAAAACTTAAGAAACCTGCACAGCAATGGTGTCTCTTGCAATTTAACAAACTGCAGAGCAGCTGCTCTAAAGCCATTCTGAGACCATTCTGTGCAGAATCACTGCACCAGAGCAGGAATTTACAATTTCACTGGGCACTAATCAAGACTTCACTTGTACCACACATAGAGAAGGGCACGCAAGGCCAAGTTAATCAGAAAGGCAGCCCTGATTAACCCATTACATCTTAGGCAACTTTCAACCCTCAGTGTCATCTTATAATCGTAACAGCAATGAAAAAGGGTAAAACCTCTCTTTTGCTTTAACTGAATGACAACATCAGGTCCCATACTTCTCTCTCAGGTCAGGAGAAACTATGAGCTTCCAAGCCCTGGGGAACAACTGTGTGGGCTGTGACCTCCTGGACCCAGCTCACCTTCATGGTAATGGTCCTCAACAGTGATGATTCTGCCCTTGGTCGCTCTTGCATTTTCAAGTATTGTCTTCTTATCCAGGGGCTTTATAGTGAAGGGATCAATCACACGGATGAAGATTTTTTCTGCAGAAATAGAATGAAATGATTTGCAACATGAATTTGGAGAATGCAAGACAATAGAAGTGGTACAGGCAGCCCCTGCGATCTTTTAGAGCCATTATGAAAACTGTCTACACTGTACCTATAGCTTGTCTACCACAGAATCCAACCAATCCTAATTTTTGTATGTATTCTTTCTTCGGGCACCTTGTGAGATAGTAATATCCATCCATTCCACAGACAAAACTCTTGAGGCAGAAAAGCCTTGGATAAATGACTCAAGGTCACTAGGAGTGCCCGTCAGCAAAACAGTAATCTAACTGGCCTTCCCACGGGTAAGAACGGAATCTAGTCACCAGGAAATCCTTCTTATTCAGACTGTCAATCACAATTTTTTCCCAGACTTTATTTTACCTTTAACTTTATTGTCAAGCCAAGCACAATTTCCTTCTGCTTCTTCGGTCTGTAGGCATTCTGAATTCTGCATTGCAGGCTGCCCACCTATCAGGTATGCCCGTTTGAACTGCCCCAGCCCTGATCGTGGTGCCCTTAAGGTTGGCCTCAAAACCAGAATTTGTCCTGACATCACAAGGCAGGCCCAGATTGCTTGTTAAAGCTACGTACAAATGGCGATTGTTTATAAGAATAGCAAATTACATGAGGTTTTGTCTGATCTTGGCTAGCTGAACACTGAGTCAACTCTTATCATACATAAAGAAGCCCTATGGTATGTTGACAGTTTTGTAACCGAAGGCTCTTTAGTGACCAATATATTTTAGGTATTAGACACTGTCTCTACACTAAGAGATTATTTCTCCATAGCTGGTTATTCACACTTCAAGATCAGCAGAGCATTGCAAAGCATGGTAAACGCCAAAAGATAACAATAGTTCTGAAAATACAACTTTCAAAATGTCCTAAGCCTGATGGCTCAAGGTCATGACAAAATATCTGTCCACCGAAATACAGCATACAAAGCTACCCGTAAGCCACAGGCAGCGCTAATTCTATTATCTCTTACTATTTGTAATGTCTTCCTGGGCATAGGCTACTGACTCACAGATGGATTTTTGATGGTTTCTTTCTCTTATTCACTGAAGGATTTTTATCTTTGCTGTGAGATGTCAGCGCATTTGAGCACTATCACAGAACTACTGCCTCCCACGCTAGTTAAAAGTTGATACATTCATTCAAAAAACCCAAGTAGCAGTAAGCCTTATCTATACAAAGGCACTCCATATCAACAGCATTGTGTAAGCACACACAGTTGCTGTGGCTCAGCTGACAAGCTGTATTTTGTTAACTGGCCCCAGCCTGATTGCATTCTATCGTGTTGGTACCCTAGCCCGCCCAGACACTGTGCCAGGGACGGATCACTCTGTTTCTTACACACTTCCTCTAAGATTCTGCCTGCAGGGCACTTTCAGACAGATTAGCAATTCTAAAGAGACTTTGATCTGATCAGTTTGGCAATTTTCATGGCTACTAATGCTGCTAAGCTAACTAAAACCTACTCAATTAGGCAAGATTGGCAGATGTATACTATGTTGCACTGTATCAGCTTAACAGGTGACCAGCTGTCTGTAACATTTTAATTAATGTTTACCAGTACAAAGGGTGAGCAGTTAGGCTGAGTGGTATTGATTTCTTTGCTGTGTTAAATGATAAAAAAGGAAAAAAAACCAAACCATAATCTAATCACCTTTTCTTAGCTGCTCTGCTGCAGCCAGAGCCTCATGCAGAGTGACTCCTGCTCCGATCACAGTCACTTGGTCATCCTTACTCTTCAGAACCACCTGCAAGAAAATGTTTCCATGTACTTTTAACAATACATCTTATTGCTATTTCTAACATTTCTGGAGATTTTACTAAAAAGATCAAATCCTTGGCATTGAAATGCTTTAGAGGGAAAGGGACTTTTACAGGAGGAACTTTGCATATTTTTTCTGATTCTATTTATCTGGGCAATATTTACCTTTGCCTGTCCAATATGGAAGTCCTCATTGTTGTTGTAAATGACAGGATTTTCAGGACGACTAGTTCTTATGAAACAAATGCCCTGTTTCCGAAGTAAACATGTTATAAGTTACAAAACCAGAAAGGTGTTGACATTCGAGTTTGTAAACCCTATGAAAAAAATACAGTAAAACGACTTTTTCTATTTGTCTGGTTTTCACCCTTCTATGTTACCTCTGGTTCTACGAAGTAAAACTTTTCTCCCCCCCACCCCCACAGTCCTTTTTCAATAGCTGGTTGTTTCAGACATTACAATATAGTTAACCTCTTCTTAGAGCATGCTAATAACTTACAATTTTCTTTCTGATTCCAAGATCTTTATTTCTCTTTTGTTCTCTTGTGGAAATGGAGAATCCGCCTCGAGTTAATTAGAATCTTAGAACTTTGCCATACATGTGTAAATTTTACTCTAGTGACTTTAAAGCAAAAGAAGAAATGCTCAGCTGAAAGCAAGGAAAAATCCCTTCCTTCAGTTAATGTTCAGATGCCCTTCCAAAAGAAGCAACAAACCAGTACTTCACTCTAATCTCTCCCTCACACTACCTTACACTCCTTTCCCTTCCCCCTGATCTTTTTTTCACAAACCACTCATCACATTTGTTACATACCAAATTTCCACACTCCTTCACTTAAAAGCTGTACTAATAAGATTGAAATTTTTCAGATTTGCTCCTTTCTCAAGGTAAATTCCTATGGCAGACAAAATAAGTACTGATCAAGGAGATGATCCGACCCAATGCTACCAATGACATTTGACAATTCCTATGCAAATTAGCTGAAGGTAAGAGATATAAGAAACTCTGTCACAGCCCTATGGGAAGTCTTAGTCATCTTCAGCCACAGTCCAATTTAACTGCAATCCATCACTGGCAACAGAGGAGCAAAAGATGACCAGTGAGACTGTCAACTAGCATAAGCACCAGCTCTCAGTATCTCCAAAAGATGTACACTGTCTTAGACTACTAAAGGACCTGACTCCTGAGCTTTCACGTACACGCACTTGATGATCAAAATCCTCAAGATAAATTTATCTTTCCATATCCAGCTTCAATTGTGACCCCAGAGACATCATGCTAGGAGTATACTTTCTGTAAGTTTGCTAAAGACCAACAAGAGAGTTACACATGCTCTTATTTCTGAGCCAATTTAGACCCAAACTGCAATTGCTGTGTAATCATTTACATCTCCCCAAATCTGGTCCACAAGATTCCAGACTGTTCACTTTTGCACTAGCCTGGACAGAATGTCTGCAACCTTTCAATGCAAAGAAAACATCCCACTGCCACACTGGAGCCTTTGAAAGAATTTATGCGGGTAGAGACAAGCAAGAAACATGCCAGAAGCAACAAAAGAAGTGCAAAAAAAAAAATTATTCTCTGGCTCAGAAATACTGTGATGCAAACCTTGGTGTTGGCAGCTATTTCCACTGCTTTTTCAGTGGCTACAGCATCGCTAGGGTAAAACACAGTGGCATTGGGAACAGCCCGGAACATGCACAGATCCTCCAATCCCATCTGAGATGGCCCATCCTCACCTAAAAGAATTAAACCAGAGTTACAAAAGAGTAAGTGCACATTTTTGACAATCACTCAGTGTAGCAGTGAGGTTCAATGTAAGCCAGAAAAAAAAAAAAAAAACAAACAACTACAAAATCAGGCACACACAGGACATGCAAGTCTACCTGCTTGAGAAAAGAATCATCTTCTCCTTAAACTTGGAACCATCTAAACAGTAAATAAAGATAGAAAGAGACTAAAAAGAAAGAGAACTGGGGTTAAAAAGAAAAAATAGAAAATGAAGTGTAACAATAAAACAACACCAAAGGAAGACAACCAAAGTAGGAAGGGTACAAATACAGAGAGGGTCACAAGATATCCAAGCATTTTCAGATTTACATACACTGAGGCTGCACGAGCAAAATTTATACTTGTCTATAGTGTTCCTTTAGATTTGAACTGTTGGAAATGTGAAAGAATTGCATGTGTTCCATCAGAAATGGAAAGTGCACTTGGTACAACTACTCTCAAATTCTTAGGCTCACTTCGAGATTAAATGAAGGGTATGTGTTTTTTAATACTATAGAAAGTCTTTTAAAGAGCAATAGGGCATCTGTGTTGTTCATTTAACAACCAAGTGCCTTATGGCATAAACTGCAGATCTATAAAAAAGAATTGTTAGCCAGAACATGTGCTGGATGCACATTTTCCATAGTTAAAGAAACCACCACACAACACCCCCCGCCCCCAATGACCTTATGTAATGGTGCTTTGGGAATGGCACTGTTCCAAACTAACCATGCAAAGAGTTCTGAATCCAGTCATGTCACAGCCTGCAGAGCAGAAGCAGGGCAATAAGTCTTCCCACATGCACCCACTACCTGTTACTCAAGAAGGACGAGTTCACGAGGAAGGAGGAGAGTATTTTCATAAGAGCAGCACAAAACTCCGAAGAACTTTAAACATGTTAAAGAAAGCAATCATTGAACTCTGCCACTACATGTTACTAATAAAGTAAGCATGAACCAGGAAAAGAGAGCACCTCGGCTTTTGGTCATGACATGAAAAAAATTCTCAACGTCACAGTTTCTAAATCCGTATGCGCTGCCTGAATGAGTGGGATCTCAGTGGGCATTTCCCCTTCCTAAAGTGCACCTACACAATGCATACATAGAAGAAAAATGAAATTATGAAGAACGAAATTAACAGGTACCTGAATCAGAATCTTACTCAAGGTAAAGAGAGTACTCATGCTTGTCCTACTTTTGCTAACGTGGTGCCAATAATACCAGCATTCACAGTTCTTACTAGTAATTTACAGACTAGCACTAAGTTGAGTTCGGCCCCAAGTGCATCTTGACAAAAATCCTGATTTATGTGGTTTTAGAGTAACACAGATCAAAAGAGAGCAATTTTCAATTATATCTGCAAAACCTATATTTATAGCTTAATAAAAAAACGTGAGTGCTTAATATGAACAGTATCAAATGTCTAGAATATAAAACTGGTTGTCTAAACAACTGGTATTTCTATTTTTGACACATGTACACTACTATTTCTTTCCCTGTATGTTCAGTTTGGAAAATACAGATTTTCCATTATTCTCTTATGACCTTGAAAACACATTTAATGTTTCATTAGATGTTTTGGCCCATCAGCAACTATTGGTCTAGGAGTGAACTTAGTACAAGTTCAGAAAGTCATTGTGATAGTTATTTCTCATAAATTTAATGGGTCCAAATTTCAATGCAGCAGAAGCCCAGGTCTACCTAGAACTGCATACACAGAACTTCAATTTTCACCACAGAACCAGTTAGGATCCATGCAGGCCTAAAGTTCTAATAGGAAGTACACTTAATTCATACCCTTCCATTTAAAATTGAATTTTCTAACTGTTAAAGGATTTCTCTGAATTACTTTCTTTTACAACTTGGTTGCAAAACTTTGGGTTCAAATTCTTTTTTGAAAATCAGAGCTGAGGCCTGAATCAGATTTGTAACTCAAACAACTTTATAAATCTAAGTATGCACTTCACAGTCACAGCTCACAGCGGAACATTTCAAGTGCCGAAAATTGAAACTTGGAAGTCTAGTTCTAGGAGACAATTCAGGTAACCCAAAGGAGTTTTATCTTCTTAAACGAGCAAAGACCAAAGCTAATTGGCTTTTGCACCAACACCCTTTGCTGCTTGCTAAAAGACTTAAACTGGATTGAACTAGACTACGATGAGGTGGGAGGACTGATTTTAAAAAGAAAAGAGGCTTGTAATAGAATCCCTCCCTTAATGACATATACAAGCTATAATCTGATATACTCTACTTACAGTCTCCTCTACTAAAGCATACTCTATACCGCTGCAAGTTAAGCTTGAGGTTCTGGATGAGACTACATATGTTTATGAAGCATCTTTAAATCTTTACCAGTATTACAGGTCAAACTAACTATTTTGCTTTAAACAAAAACACCCAACCCTCCTCCAAACCATACTGCTAGCCAAAACTATTAAATCAACTGAAAAATTGATGTATGGAGAAGCACCTTAATTTACTAGCCCTGTCAGCTCTCCCTCTCTTTCTTTTCCCCTATAAATGCCTAGTAGTTTTTCAAGCATAAATGTCTACTGGCATTTTCCTTCTTGGTATGCAAGTCTGCTCCTGTTTTCATGGGTGATGTCTATGCATTTCACTAAAAAAGCAAAACTCCCTTCCTCCTTCAAACCGAAATCAAACCCCAATATGATCTGACATGTACCAAACAGTCGTGATGGGAAGCAAAGACCAGAGAAGGTACTGCCAATTTCCTGAATTACATAACAGCTTCACAGTTCCTGTTTCATTAGTACTTTGAGGTTTCGGGGTTTTTTTAATCAACACATTAACTGCTTCAGTAGTAAGAAATACTGAGGTAAGTTGAAGCAATTATTTCACATCGGTGATCTTCAAAGGCATAATAAAACAAAAATATTTATTCCTTATAAAGTGTTTTTGAGATTGGTGGACAAGAGCATCTGTGCAAGAATAAGTTTCATTAGTTTCTTATTTTGGGGACTGGGAAACATAGATACAGTAACCACACACAACTATTCTCATCACAGAGGACGTCAACTGCAAAGATGGAAAGGAACCTAAGCTCCTCACTTTCAATCCAATCCCTTATATATCACTCTATACTTGTAGAGTAGAAAAGCTTGTAGGAAAAAGTCCTATTTTTATCAGGCCAAACTGATAAAAGAGAAAAAAAGCAGATGAGTTGAAATCTTTCTCATTCCAAATAAAACGATGTGTCTGATAAAAGTGAATTGCAAATATGACTTCTTCCTATAAATGGTGCCACTGATATACCATCACAGCTATACTACTGATTGTCTCCACAAAGCATTATCAGTTTGACTGCTAGACACTTATCACTAAATGGATGGGAACTGCTGATAAATAGGCCAAGGCTGCCCTTACCAATAGAAACACCGCAGTGCGACCCACAGAGATTGACATTACTCTCGGAGATGGCAGCCATACGGATCTGGTCAAACGCCCGTGTGAAGAAGGTAGCAAAGGTGCTGGCAAAAGCAACAGTTCTGTCACGAGTGGCACAACCAACTGCAATGCTCACCTGAAAAGAGGGAGATTGTACAATGTACAAGAACAGTGAATTCCTCATTTATCGATTGTTTCCAAGAGATCATCTGTGGGACTTCCTACCGTAAAACTTCAGCAAGAAGCTCTCAATGCAGATTAAAAACCTCTGTCCAGTCCTGCTCCTAATTGTTGGCCTTTCCAAAAAGGAAAGGAGGCAACTCACTTTCCCAGTATCTATCCTCCAGCATCTCCTCTGCTGCTTGCCTCAACTGCTAGCTGTTATTGTTGATCCTTACTGGCAGCTTCTTTTCTTTACCTGTTCCAAGCAGCCATTCACAGTTTTAAGACTTATCCCCCTCTTTTTTTCCTGGATCAACGGCTTACAGTTTGAGTCCAAAGGACATGGTTTTACTATCTCCAGCAGACAAAAATTATCACTACTAAGTGGGCATGGATTTACCTGTGTTATTTGGACTGGTATTTACTAAAAGGGCCCTTCTTCAGCAAGACGGAAATTAGAACAAGGTCCTTAAATCGTTTATTGCTACAATTACCCCATATATTTATTTTGCACAGAAATTGGTCTGCTCTTCATGGCAAATTTCTCCTAAGCTGATGTAAATCCAAAATGCCTGACTCAAGCTCATGAAACTGCCTTAGTATAAAATTTGCAAGAGACAGTCCATGGGTTCTTTGGTTATAAATCATTGAAGAAAACAACAAATTTCTACCTGAATTTATGTCTTTAATTTCATTTGCTTCAGTGAACCCATACAGGTGACAGCTGAAGACTCAGTCAAACAGATTAGTTATCAAATTATTTTAGTCCTTTCTGTACAAATGTCATCAGGCTAAATTTATTAACTGTTTTTCTGTCCTCATCTTTATACCCCAGTCTAGCGAAGAACTCATTGTCACGTTGTGACATTCCATTTTTGTGAAGAAAAAACCCTAAAAAGTTATTTCAGAGTTAAATCTCTACAAATCACACTGTGGAAAGTATTACCGTTGTTTACATGTTGCCATCTCCTTGTGTTCTACTGAAATGCAGACAATATGACCACAAAAATAAAAAGAAAAAAAGAGGGGGATTAGGAAAGAATGATTAGAAGCACTCCTGTTGGATTATACTTGTAAGCTTTTGCCATAGCCTAGTTTTTCCCTAAGAAGTGAGCAAGTCAAATTAAATATCCATGAATACACATATGAAAAGCAAATATTAAAACCCCACTCTCTAAAGACTCAGACTGAATGGTCTCAGATCCTGCTGTGTAATACCAGTATTTCAAAAAACCAAGAGACTAGTTACCATGTTCTGTTCGGCAATGTAGCATTCAATGTAGCGACTGGGATGTTCTTTCTTAAAAAGCTCTGAGAAGGTGGAGTTCTTTGTGTCTCCATCCAAAGCAATCACTCGATCGTTAGCATGGCCCAGTTTTGCAAGTGCAACACCGTAAGCTTTGCGGGTAGCCCACTAGGAGAAGAAAAATATAGCAGTACTGTTACAACTTTCTGTTTCTAGCAGCTTTTTTTTTTTCCCCACTTTCTTCTTCCATGAGTGCATGCACATACAATTAAAAAAAAAAACACAACAAAACACAACCAAAAACATTTTAAATGTTAGCAATATCAGAAGTACATATGAGAACAGTGACACACAGAAGAGTAAACAAAAAAAGAAAAATACAGCGAAGCATCAGGACACACATCTCTGCTGAAATCACCAACTCCCTACCAATCCAGCTAGGAAATTTTGAAAACCTTGGTTTCCAATCATGGATATTCACTGAACCTCGTGGAGTTTCTTCAATTTTAAATACACGTAAAATAATTTGGATAATTGATAATGATAACAAAATGAAAAAGAGTGATTTGACTCTTTATATTTGAATATATCCATTCAATACCCAGTGAGTTGAATGTCAGTGTGTCACACCAGAGAGGTAGGTGTTTACCAGGATACTCAAAATAGGAGAGAAGAGGTGGGTAGTTGAAATCGTGGCAAGGGATAACACAAAACCTCCTGCCATCCATTAAGCAGTCTCACACTTGGAAGATATCTGACAAACAATGAAAAAGGAAGGGAGTACCTTTTCTCCCACTTTGTAAGTTGGTGGAGATGGCATCTTAATGTTTCTAATATTTACTACAGGTGCATCTTCTTCCGGGAGGGCTGGAGAAAGCTTTTTCTTATTTTGGATTTTGTCATCTATTTCCTGAATGACTTGTTCAGCCATGTTTTTTGGGAGGGGCTTTCCATGCCAGCTTTCCTTATCTTCAACACCTGCGTATTTAAAATTACAAGTAAGAAAAATATAAAAACTATTTAAGTTTTTAGCTGCAGATTTTACCCAGATGAAAGTGCAGTGAAGTATGACAATCTAGTATAGTCTTCCAAGGAAGAACTTCCTTATTATTCCCACTGTAAACAATTCCAATAGTATTCAATTGCATTAAGACAGACATGTTTAAATACATAAGAGAAATAGTCAAATTCCATATATTCCAAACTAGTGGCGAAATTCCAGTGTCTTCTACCGAAATTGTTTTTAAATTGGCACCTAAAAGACCTGGCCCATAAGTGTGGCAAGAAGTAAACAGTAAATCAGTGTGAACAGTTAACATGAAATTTCAACAGTTAGGCCTAAATAAACAAACTCAGGTAAGTTGCAAACAACAGTTAACCAAACTGCCTAATTCAAACAAGTCCTGATGTTTTACAGCTTTATTTTAATAGCTTCTAATGACTCTTATCTTTGCACACCTGGCACTAACAGCAAAATTACCTCTCTGGCTGATATGCTGCTTTTCACTGAGTAAGTCAGTAAGAATAATGAATTTTGCTCGCTTACTCAATGAAGAGGAATGAAGACATTCACTCCTGTTATTAATATTTACCTGGTCAGAAAGACAAATTCACAGAATGCTGCTAAAAGCTGTAGCTGAACAGAATCACAGCAACCCCTGACACACTGAATATGCATTTACTCCATTCTATGGATACAATGCTCAGTAGCTAGTACGCATCTCACTTGCAAGAACCAAAATAATTTTCTTAGCACTAACACTGTTGAGAAGTATAAAGAGTTTGAAAGACTTCTGCATGCTATTGCTCAAACATGTAGGTACATATCTGTCCCCTAGACAATGACATTTAGGTAAGTTTCACACCACATGAAAACTACAAAAGGCTCTTAGAGGCACCATGAACTCCAAAATTCAAACAGCTGCTAACCTATGAAATAATTTCTATGGACTACTGTATCCTGTATCTCAATGAATTACACACACCAGATCATATGAAATAACCTGTAGTATGACCAGGTAGCCTATGTACCACGTCTCATGCAGCTTTGTCAAAACTGTAAATGCAGCATCCCTCCTCGTCTTCTATGCATTTACACTGCAGACCCAGTCACCTGCAACAAGGGGAGCAGGGAGTTTCTGTGACAAAGTTACTCCCATCTCAGAGTAGTCTCTGTGAGTCTAGGGATCAAGAGCAAGCCAAGAAGGTTGCCCTCTTTTGCGAGGACAATTTTCAAGACCAAGTCATACGGTCTAATGTTCCCCGCTGCCCCCAGCCAGCTTCCAGACTAGAAAAGACTTTTTAAAAGAGTAACAACTCAAATACAGCTGACAGCAGAAGAAATCCTACTCTGCAGCTGGGGTTCTGTAAAAGCCCAGTCAACATGGAAGCACACATGGCTGGATAATGTGAAGAACTGAGAGCCACATTTTTGCCTGCTTCCAAGGAAGCGTCAATCTCATGCCCTCCATGAGAAAAGGCAACAAAGGAAAAAAACAGAGGGTGAAATTCTGAGTTTTCAGATTGTATGGTAGTATGATCAAGTCAAAAAGCTGATAGGATACCAACTTTTTCTAGTGTATGAAACATTAAACTTTTATATTTTTTAATGATTGCACCTTTGTTGCAGCACTATGTACATATCATAATCATAGAAGCATAGAATGGTTTGGATTGGAAAGGACCTTAAAGATCATATAGTTCCAACCCCCCTGGCATGGGGCAGGGACACCTTCCACGAGACCACGTTGCTCAAAGCCCCATCCAACCTGGCCTTGAACACTTCCAGGGATGGGGCATCCACAACTTCTCTGGGTAACCTCTTCCAGTGCCTCACCACCGTCATAGTGAAGAATTTCCTCCTTATATCTACCCTAAATCTACCCTCTTTCAGTTTAAAGCCATTATCCCTTGTCCTATCACTACACGCCCTTGTAAAAAGTCCCTCTCCAGATTTCTTGTAGGCCCCCTTCGGGTACTGGAAGGCTGCTGTAAGGTCTC